ACAGTCCACACACACAAAAAGAAAAGGAGAAGGAGGGTTGGTAGTGTGTGTGTTTGTGTGTCTCGAACCTCCTGCCATTCTTCACATTTCAATCACAGCAATTAAAACACATTGGGATTGTATTCCATTCCCATGGGTAAAAGCAATAGTTATTAATATCACGGAACACACACACAAATCACCAGGAAGAAACAGTGAATGGCGGCAAAACAGAAGCCAGATAATAATGCGAACAAACAAAGAGGAGACTCCCCTCACATAATGATGGTTTGTCATGTGTTGAGTGCCATAGGGAGTCCAATAGATGTGTTCAGTAAAAAATGCAAACAAAAGATTTATCGTGCTGGAAGAGAAGAAAGAAACGAATATCCAACCAAAAAGAACAGTTTCCTTACAATGTATCCACTCAAACAAAGGTTAACTGTGCAACTGTATCATGGAAACACCGATCAGCACACGACAGTGCAACCCAAGAAACAAAGCAGAAGCAACAATAAGGGACTGTGCATCAATGCAAGACGGACACTGTTGTCTTTCTTCTTTTTGGCATTTTTCGCCCTTTCCGCATCTTCCTTTGCCTTTCTTTCCTTTTCTTCTTCAGCGAGTTTCTCCCGTTTCTTCCTTTCTTCTTCGGCTCTTTCCTGCCTTGCCTTCTCTTCCCTCGCCTTTTTCTCCTGTTTCTCCCTCTCCAGTCTCGCCTTCTCTTCCTCCGCCCTTCTCTTCCTCTCCGCCTCGGCCCGTCTCTCCTCTTCCTTCCGCCTTATCTCCGCCCGTTTCATTTCCTCGAAAGCCTTCTTTTCTTCAATTTTTTTATTTTTCAAGTTCTCCTTTTCCTCCTCCAATACCCGGTTTAATTCCTTCGCAATTGTACTGTCCTTCCCTTTCTTCGGGTGTTCCCGAACGAGCGCCCCGGTGACGGGACTCGCCCCCACATTCAATTCCACCGTATCTTTCCATTTCGCCTCTTTCGTCGTGATATCCCCGCCATTAACTAGATTTACTGATGGATCCTTGTCTGGGATCATCTTCTTCTCTTTGACTCCCATTGTGGTGTTCATCTCGTTCTTTAGTTTTTCCACCTTTGGTCCATAATCTCCTCTTGTATTTGAGACGTTGACATTTTCCTTCACCTTCTCGAACCGGTCCACCGCCTCTTCCGCTGCGGCCACCGCTTTTGCCAAACTTTGCGCTACTTCGTTCGAGATACCTCTACTGCGGCTTATGCTGAACGTAAGGTTTTGCACGAGCATATCCACCTCCGCTTCCTTGGCTCTGGTCCTGTTAATAAGATCTCCCCATTCCAGCAACTTTAACTCCTTGTTTTTTTCCTCGAGTTCTCGCGTCCAGTACTTTAGAGCCTCCTTTTTGTTCTCCGATCTCAGATCCTGCAAGTTGCCAAGGAAAACCGTACAACCAACCAACACCCTCGCTTCCTCACGTGCTTCTCGTGCTGCGGCAATAACTTCCTTGCTTTCCTCCACTCTTGTGGTCACCACATCCACGTGTTCATTCAGTTGACGTGCAATATCTCCATGCCGACCCTCATCACTCTCATTCAGTTCTTTCACAAGTTTCCTCGCCTTATCGGCACTTTGTTTCAAATCGTCGGCAACTTTCCAGACCTTCGTAGCTATTTCCGCGTACTTCTCATTGTTGCTGTCTCCCACTCTCTGACAAGTTTTTGCCCCGGGATATTGTACATCAACTTTGTTCAACCAATCCACCATTTTTTCCGCATGCTTTTCACCATTTTTTTTTTTATCGTCGTCGTCAGCGAAACCCACACACGTACAGAAGTGCAGAAGAACCAACAGGTACACGACACGGCGCAGTTGGATGAACATCGTTGTCATGATTGTCACTGTGAGTTGCCCGGGTCTGTGACAACAAGGAAGAAGAGGAAAAGGAGGAAAAGAAGAGACGCACATTTAACACACACGGCAGACGGGGTGCAGAGCAACACCAAAGAGAGAGAGAGAGAGAGAGAATACACATCACAAAAGCAATCAAACACAACCCAATGAGATATCAACAGTTAGGGCAACAGCAAACACGCAACTCTCTGACCAACTCCCACCGCTAGGAAGGAAAACAAAAACAAAAACCGACACACTATAAAACAATGGACACCAATAAGGGAACAATTTCCCTTTCGCAGTAATACGCAACGTTCCTACAACTCTACGACAACCACGCGACCCGAAAACAAGGACATAAAAAAAAAACAGTTCGCCCCACACATCAAACAGCAACAACATCACAAAACAACAAGAGAAAGAAAGAATCCAATGCATCACCATAATATTTATACCAACACCACAATTGGAATCTAAAACCCACTCACTCACAACCATAACAAAAATGACTGCATACATCACTGTAATACCATGCCACTCTTTACAAACAGAAACAACACACAATTACTCTCTCACACACATATTACCTCTTTATTTATCCTTATTACTATTATTTTATTTTTCCCTCAGAATGCCAATTCGGCCCTTCTCCCACAACATTATCAGCAAAAAAAAAACACCCACCAATCACTCACGTCCCTTTACTCCATGGTGTGAATTAGGAGGGTACGATCAAACATATCCCCTACTTTCTCTATCTCTCTCTCACTCTCTCCCCAAAAGGGACCCCACACCACACCACCACGTTTTCCTTTTTGTTATTCGTGGATTTATGGATGCTACTCCAATGGAACGGACCATCAAGAATAATACATAAATATACATAAATACAATTTGTTTTTATATTATTTTTTCACTACCGTTGGGCATGGGGAGTACGCATTGGTAATGAAATTATAATGGATCTCGTAGGTGGCAGAACATGGATTTTTTCGCCTCTCTGAGCCCCCTCAGCGGCCAAATCTAATTTTCACCACTGGAGGATATAATTGTTACTATCTTTAGGGTCCCTGCCACTCCTTTTTTTAGCAGCATTAACACAAAAGTGAAATATATAAAAAAACTGCTGCTGATGGCACACTGATTCGCGCCCCAGGACCCTCTTGGATAAAGTTTTCTCCCAGTACGACTCTGCCAGCCCCGGTGCTGTATGAGATTTGCAACTTATGAACCCGTAAACTCTCAAGAAGAGAATTTACTGACCCATGACTTCCCTCGAAAGAATAAGGGATAATGGGCATTGGCTCCAACTTTTGATGGCCAAACGCCGCCAAGGGAAGGCCATTCCGAAAAACACATGTGTTAAAAAAAAATAAAAAGAATTTGGTTTTTTTAGGAAGACCACCCACTTCAAACATTTAGTGAGTGCATTTGGTTTCCCTAAATAAATTCATCTACTCCACCTTGGCACCGCGTTGGAGGCAGCCCTCATTAACAAGGATCTGTCTCTGTACAATTCCCACCCCTCGCAAACCCCATGGAACTTATAAATGTAATTAAAAAAATACATAATGTCACTCTTATTGGTCACAGAATCATTCAAAAGTCTAGTTTTATGGTTTTGTTTCCTGTGTTAATATAAATATTGAACTCAATGATTCCGCCGCTCTGTGGTAATATCTTTCTTTTGTGCAGAAAACGCGTGAGGCACAGTGAAAGAACACCATCACCAGCACCTACGACGCCTTATGCACTCAAAGGGGTTATTTGCTGGTAAAATGTTTTTTTTTTATCCTCACATTTCTTGCTTCTCAATAAGATAACATGGCGTTTTCTATCGCCACTATTTCTTCAATTCGAAGTTTTTGGTCCGGGGGAAGCAACGGTAACATCAACAACCCAGGTAATGGGGAACCCCGCACGCACCCACAAACACTGCCCCGAAGAACGCCATGGAGGATTCTGTTGGTAAATATGGGCATGATCGTTTATTAATCAATCTTCCTACACCAAATAATGACACACAAACGCTTTTGTTTGCAACAGCGTTGCTTAAGGCAGAAGCCGACGTCAGTGTGGCAATCTTTTTCTTTTCTTCTTTCTTTGCAGATTGAAATATTCCAACAGATTGTCATTAAAAAAAAAAACCTTGGTGATCGGGTGCTAACTTATCTTGGCGTCATGGTCAAACACTTGAATATATTCGGGGAAAGTAAACGTACTCCATACATTGTTGGGAATCTCCTTATAAACCAAATACTTGTGGGAGGAAACGTTCTGTATAGATTTCACCCCTTTTCTGCATTTCCCATGGGTCTCCTTTTCACACTACACATGGCAGTAGCGAAACGCCTTAACACCACCATAGCAGAATTTGCCTTCATCATGGGGAAGGAAGGGCTCACCCTCATGTTCTTTGTTCATGGTGCCGCGTGCCACCGAGTAAAAGGTGCGGTTGGATGGCCACACCATGTCATGAGGGGAACGGGGAAGGGTCATCTTTGCGGAATACCCTTCAAACCCATCTTACCCAGCGTTGAAGTAGGGAAAGCCAAGAGTTTTCCACTATTCCCAACCCCACTCATTTTATAAGTGAAACACCCCAGGGAGCCACCCCCCACCTCTCTCTCTTCTTGTTGCGCACAAGACGCTGTGACAAGTTGGCCGCCCGCCTTGGGTTGTGGGGTCGTGTTCTCCTCCTCCTCCTTCTTCGGGTGAGGAATAAAAAAAAAAAGAAAAGGGCAAAACCCGACAACGAGCCTCGAGCATTACGCACGCAGACTGGTTGCCGGGTTTCATCCTTTTTTTTCCTCATCCTCACTCTTCTTTTTCTCTCAAGTTCAAAGTCCCTGAGCAT